AGGCTTTAATACGTGTGCACTCCACATTTAGGTGCGGCTAGCTTAACCTCAGAAACGAGTGACAGAAACACTCAAAGCGGGTCAGACCGTTAGTTGCCTTTTCTAAGAAGTCAGTCACAGATGGAGTGGATGTGCTATTAGACAATTCAGAAGAACAGTGACCTGCAAACGGCGATTTTTGCGTCTTTCTCGGACAGTTTAAAATGCTTCCACACTGCCGACATGTCATGTCAACGTAATTGTAAAATTTAATCGAAGATTTGACTTATTAGGCCGAACACCGAAAGTGCAATTTTTGCTATTTTCGCCTGATTAATTTCGGTGGCTGAACATTCGGTGCATCCCTATTTATTTTATTTAAATATCAGTTAATGAAATGCTTATGTTAGACTCTTTATTTATAGATTATCCATTAATTAAGATATTTTATTTTCGTTTTTATTGTGGAATTAAATATCAATCAATCAATTGCTTAATAACCATTTCCATCACACTTTGTGGTCCTCCATAATGCGTGACCAGTTTGGCAAAAATAACTGGACAGATATTGCAACCACTGAATTTGTTACATATGATAAATATTGATAATAAAACATTTAAGAGATGATAATCTATTAAACTGTGACAATCTAGGGCCAGAAATATTCAGATTTGTTTTCAGCCACTCTAGATCAACAGCAAAAAATAGATTTGTTGATTAAACTTTATTTTAACCCCCTATTTAGCATTTTAAAGCAGCATTCAAAATAAATAAATGTAATAGTAAGCACATATAAGGATATTTTAAGGCTTTACCATTGCATTTGTCAACAACTTTAACTCCTCCTTTATAACTCCTCCTATGAAGCATCCATAACTGTAACACTGAACAGTTAATGAATGCTTTACAACATCATATCACGCAGTTGTAATCCTATATAATGAAATGTCTTCATAGTCTTCACTTCACACTTAACAAATGTTTTTCAACAAATTATAACATTTGTTCATTATATATGATTACACCTATGTTGCACTGTGTTATTAGGCATTCATTAACTGTTTAACACCAGTTCACAAATACATCAATAAACATTTCAAATGATATCTTTACTTACTGTGGATTATAAACCCGTTAGTGTTCATTTGTTGCTTATAAATACAATGACAGTGGGCTATTATTGTTACAGATTTGGTAAATTGTGTAAATGTACTTCTGATGGGTTGATTAAGAATAAATCAACTATGGTTTAAAGAATTATATTTGACTTCCCTCTCTGAGACTGAGCCTCCTCCTTCCAACTAAAATGCAACTTGATTGTGCTTCTAAAATTGGATTAAGGCTTGTAAGCAGTGAGGGGATATCAGTGCCCAGCGTTTTTAAAAACTGTTGCTAAGACATCAGTATTAAGCAGATCCCCTTTCCATGCCTTGCATAGCTAGCTTAGCTTAGCATCACTTCATCTGTTATATTTACACAAACAAACCTCGGTTATACAACCATAAAGCCATCACTCTGTCATCTAAAGTAAACTATTATTGTTGTCTTGCCATTTAAACAGGCAGCACTTTCTATTCTTGTCATATGCAAATGTTGCCACATGGTGGACAAAAACAATAAACCCAATCCCTTATATGGCATTTAAAACTTTTCATTCCCTGCTTATCTAATGACATGCGAGTGGAGGTTTTATCATATGGGTCTGTTGGGTGAGTCATTATAGTTCAAACAGGCAAGGCCTCAACATAGTGCATTAGCCTCAAGCTATTGAAAATAAATGGTGTCACATCCTCTTATCTGTCTGTTATGCCATTTGAAGCTTTCATCATGTGGGGAGTAGGGCCAATAAACTCATACTGTTTTGTAGAAAACAAACATGTATGGCATGAACATCTTTCGAAGGACTTTTCACATCATTTTTATGATTTGGGCAGATGTTGTTTCTCCTCTGCTTGTGAAGGTTATGTTAGGCTAGGTCGCAAAAGTTTGTGGCGTTGAATCATGACTGTATTGCAGGGTGCACTGTTAACACCGGTTATAATAACGTTGCCTCAGTGACAGAGTGCTTTGTGTTACTACTTTCTCTGCTGTAGTTGTAATTTTTGCTAAAATACATACATACCTATTTTCTCTATGACACTGTGTCTGTTTTGTAAGCAGATCTGCTACCTGTGCAACTATTTCTCCAAGAAACACATGATTAAGAGACTCCACCACTGAGTATCACATTACTGAATAGCAGTCAAGAGTGGCACACTTGACCACTACATTGCCACTGTCATCGTGTGAGCGCATTTGTAATGCCAATATTCAAACATCAGCTTGTAATAAGATGCCTGAAGAATCTCGTGAGTTAAAAATTCACCAGACGTTATGTCCATCCAAGGTTCGCACATGACAGATGTGTGCCACTTGAGTCAGTGTTCAAACTATCACCAAATGATGGCTGTGGCGTTATGGTTGTGGTAGCAGCAGAGCTGAAATCACACAATATCTAATATATCTTTCTTACACATTATGACAATGTATACCTATCACAGATTTTCTTGTTGATGAGGCTCCATGAACCAAATACAATTTTTTTTAAGAAAGGTCTTTACCAAAATAGGTGTAGTTTTGTGTTGGTATACTTTGACAGTATTGAAATACATGCACATTATTAATTACATTACATATAATTATTTCACCTTTCATCCAATCAGACATAATTGTTTGTGATATGCCACGGGGTTCATGTTGCTCCTCTCCAGGGAAGATTCGTGAGGTTAGGACCAACATGAGACTTGCAGGGCGCAGTGACTAGCTGCAGGCAAAAGGGACAGTACCCTCAAATGCATTGTGACAAGCCTTTCCCTCTTTTCAGAAAAGAAATGCCCAAAGACACTCCTCCCCCATATTTCCCTATCATGACTAAACTTCTGACCTGGTTTCATTCAGGGCCTCTACAAGCTATTGTACTGTTCATAAATGATCCTGTGTGTGTTGACATTTGAACGACTCTGCGGTATTGAAAGTGGTTGTGTATGTGTATGGGGTGGGGTGGGGTTGTTTGAACCACATTTGAACCAAGTGAACATCATTGTATCTGCACCTTTGCTAACCTATAACTTAAAAGAATGTAAACTATGCAGAATGTGGCACAATTGACTGTCTAAGATGTCAGACAAAAACCAACATTTAATTAGACTAACAAGCATAAAGATGGACATGTGCCTTTTCTAGCAAGTTAACTGCATCCCACCATGTGCAGAATGGCCTGCGTGTGTGCAAGTATGTGGTTGATGTGTCAAAGGGATGGAAGATATCACTGGCATGACAAGAGAGTTTGCATGTATTGTGTGTATATATATATGTGTGTGTGTGTGTGTATGTGTGTGTAGGAAGCCCTGTTGTAAGGGCCCACAGCAGCCTCCCCAAAATAGAGCTGAGAACAGCTGCAGCGGGGAGGGTCGTATCAGAAAGACATCAAAGTGGCTGCCGCTCACCCACCCGCTTTGATCATAAGCGCTAATGGTGTAATGGGGGACTGGAAGGTCAGTGATTGTTTTTGGTTATGTGTGTGAGAGTGTGTGTAAGTCTGTTTTTTTTTTTTTACAAGACAGGCCGTCAACAGGCAGGAGGCTACTAGAACTTTCTGGAACCCTAACTCACAGCATAGCCAAGCCTGGCATTACTGTAAGGCAAATACCAGGTCAGGTGTCATCTCTGCAGAAGACACCATTGGCGTCTGTTGTGGCAATGAGCACAGCCAATTAAATAAGGCTGGCCAGAGCTGTCGCATTTGGTTTTCTTTGACCCACCTGTGAGTCAGTTGTGGATCCCCAACATCTGTGTATTAATAAGAAACAGTGTAAGGAAGAGCGAAAATATTAAAACACCTTACCGTCTTCTACGAGCTGCACCTCACCTCAGAGTCAAAAAGCACGATTTACAGGCAGTACTCTTAGTGTCACAGCTCAGATAACTCTGTGTCCATTTGGAAGCCTCCGATTTCAACAGTCATCGCTTTTCCTGCATGAAAGGACTCCAGGCAGGATCAGGGCAAAGTCACATTCTGAACCTGACCGTGACTGCAGCATGTGCCATGTTCTCAACTGTCACTGAGCTATGATGGACACCCCCTTTACGTGTTAGATTAGACTGTAATGTATGAGCTGTAATGTTTGGTTGTTAATAACAAAGTTAATGATCTAGTTTAGAACATGTTGGTCTTTTACTACTATTCAGATGTGAATACTTATAATTGTCCTACATTACTTTTGTAATTAAAATAATATGCTGAAGTGATTAATTTCCATTAACTGGAAATGTATGATAGTAAGAGTGCATGCCCTCTCTCTCTCTCTCGCTTTCTCATATTCTTGAATCCAGATTTATGGGTCTGCAAAATGTCTCTGTCATGTCCAGTCAGCACCTGCCCTCGCGCATCACAGCCAGCCCAGACAGTCAGGGAGGATAACCTGAAACACAGGCGCCCCCTACAGGCTTCACTGGACATGTCTTCATGGATGGCCAGTAAACCCGTTTAAATTTGACAAGTTATCTCAACTCTACGAAAATAAACAATGAATAATTGCTTTGTATAGTGACACCGACTTTTAATGAACAGCAGAGGTGTAAATGTTCATTATTCAGAAATAGCCTCTGCTTTGGGCAGTATATTTTCACTTCAATCTTTTGTTTGTAATTGTTTATGTACCCTGATTTTATGCATTGTAATTTTGGTTTTTTTCTTAATTCTCATTGATTTATTGCTTTGCTGTTGTTTCATCATGTCTTTTAAGGTGACCTAGAGTGTTTTGAAAGGCGCCTATAAATAAAATGTATTCTTCTTATTATTATATTATTAATACTTGCGCATGTTGTGATTTTCAAAATATATAATTTTATAAAGATAAAAACAAACATTTTGTCTCCTTAGTAAACTCAACAGGGACGTTGGCCATTTGATTTTGTTTATACTGGAATTTTGAAACGTTTGCGATGAGCAGGATTTTATAGTAAAGGGGACCGTTTCTCTTCACAAATAAAATTCTACGGAAGACATTTATCGCGGACGAGTGTTCCTTCAAATTGGTTCCGGGTATCAACAGCCTGGTGGCTAACATTAGCTGAAACGAAATCTCCACTTCACATTCTGCGACAGGGTGGTAAGAAAAAGTGTTGTGATTCGATTACATGCTGTTGTAATTTGGCCCGTCTCCGTCTGTTTGTCCGATACGAATTTACAACGCTAAACAACCGATAAAATTAATTAATAACGTTATCATTCGTTTGAGAAGGCGTTAGCTTGCTAGCTAACGCTGACGGCTAACTTACGAACTCTCTAAAAAAACATTTTGGATAGAGAAAGACGTGGCCACTAATCCAATTTCAAAATGGATTAGATCACAGACGTTACAGTTAGTTGTAGTTATTCAGATTTAACAATAGCCACGTTACATTGGAGTGTATTACTTTGTAACGTTAGGTAACGTTAGCTAACGTTATTTGTTTGAACTGGCTTAACTTAAGGTTACACGGTGATTTACAAAAAACAAGGCCTAGAGTTAACGTTAGCTAACGGAAACCTTAACGTAAGAGTTAACACAACCGCATTACAGCCAGTGTCCAGCCAAGACGATTTATTGTAACGTTATGTACGAGGGACTTGGTGTCCTAATATGTTGTGTTTTTTATCTTTTCTACCAAGGTTAACAGAAATATCGGAACAGGATGGGTGAGTACCTTCTCAGAATCCATAATGTTTGCCAATTCATCTAATAAAATCATTCGGGGTGTGTGCCGACTCGGAGGTCTCATTTGTTAACGCTAACTCTACTCTTAACGCTACTCTTCAAATCACTACCTTCTTATTACAGTTGGTCGTGTGTGTGTGGTACTTAAGCCTTTGTCTCGCACCTGTTTGAGATTGTTTATTGGTGTTGCTTCACAGATGGTGAAGAGAGAACCTACGGTGGCTGTGAAGGGCCAGATGCCATGTATGTGAAGTTGATCTCTTCAGATGGCCATGAATTTATTGTGAAAAGAGAACACGCCTTGACATCTGGGACTATCAAAGCTATGTTGAGCGGGCCAGGTGAGTATTCACGCACATTATTCAAAAGTATAGCAAACGGCTATATCCTGTCCTAACGCGACGGATTAGCACACACTATGGACTAACTAAAGGTTCTCTAACGTTACTTTTACCCTAACTGACATAGTTTTAGTCCTGGTAAGCTAGTAAAAATCCACTATGCCCAAGAAATAAACTCATCAGCACACCCAATGTCACTCTGATGAGGTTTGAATTGAAATCATTTATTATGTGACTCAGCTTTTGGGAGCAGTGGGGATTATCTTGTGGTGTTTTTTTATCCAGACAGCTGGATTTGTGTCACATATCATTATTTATTATTTTTTATTTTTTTCTTTAAACCTGTTTCAATGGTTTTATGGAATAACTTGCATAGAATATGCACAACAAGACACCCTACACTAACAGTAAGGTTAATATGCCTGCTTCCCATGAAGGCAAGTCTATTTGTATAGCACATTTCAGCAACAAGGCAATTCAAAGTGCTAGACATAAAACATTAATAAATATGAAAAAAAAAAAACATTTATACAAATTTTAAAAAGAGACTAATGGAAAATAAAAACAGGTTAATGTACCCGGTAAACATTTGTTCACCCATAATTCTAATGGGTTACGAATAATCGGGCTTCGGGTTTCCCATCTCTCACACCAGTCAAACCTGATCCTCTTTAGTGTGATATTTGTATTGTACAATTTACCAGCGTGGTGTGAAATGTGATTGAAATTTGGAAGAAATAGCTTCTGCTCTTCTAAGAGCCTAATGAGAGACGGGACAAAAAACTACAGATTGGAAAGGAGTCGAAGTCAGAGCATTATGTTGGTCATTAGTGCTGCTTAGATAGATTTGACTAAACTGTGGATACCAACACTGTTACTACAGCTGTGAAGTAACTGTTGAGCAACATGTTTGCTAGTTTCAGTCTGGACTGTCTTAAGACTCTGCAAACTTTATGTCATGTGAAGTGTTTACTGGTCATTTTAAAACTAGCTAAAATATACTAGAGTCTTAAATGTTTAAAAATTTGCTTTAATAAAAAACCTTATTAATAATTTGTCAGCCTTAGTTGTTATATGGCTGTATAGGAAATAGTAATGCTTTGTGTCATGGAAATTATATTCCTGGTGAGGGGTTGAGTTACAACCATCCATTGTCTTTGAAGAATTAATTTAACGAAAGAGAATAAACAGAAGTACTAAAACACATATACAGCTGGTCCAGAGACCTGCCGCCTAAGGTGGCATCGGGCGTCTGGCCCCGTGCAAAGGGATGCATCATCATTTACACAGTCTAGGTTTCTATGTTTTGGGGAACAGAGATCCTCTCTTGGCCTTGAATGAACATTCCAGGAGAGGAGAGGAAAACACCAAAACAATCTCACAGCTCTGACATAAACCCTAGTAAATGTGGACAGACTAACATAAGGAGTGTAGGAGAGGCAAGGTTAAGGATAAAAACACAATACATATATATCTATAAGCCATAATGAGAGGAGGAGGAGGAGGAGGAGTAGTAGTAATAATAATATTATAAGATTAAATGTAAGAGGACACAATTTTCTGCCATAACACTTTGCACGACTGTGGTATTTAGTCAAGTTAATTCTGCCTGTCCAGCTGGTGGCACTATGCTCCCTCCATCCAACAGTTTTGTTGCCTCATATTAAAGGTTAGATGTTTTTCTTACCCCTCATTGATGCCTGACTGTGTTTGTGCCTTTTTTTTTGTTAGCAGGTAGCATCTGTCAGAGTAATATTTTGATGGCTACTTCTGGGATAGCATATTCAAAGCTGTATTTCTTAAATTGCATGAATTCAATGTTGTATGTCTGTTCATTATTTGACCTCTGCTGTAACTCTCCATCTGCAGGTCAGTTTGCTGAGAATGAAACCAATGAAGTGAACTTCAGGGAGATTCCGTCTCACGTCCTGTCCAAGGTCTGCATGTACTTCACCTACAAGGTCCGTTACACCAACAGCTCCACAGAAATCCCTGAATTCCCCATCGCTCCGGAGATCGCACTGGAACTTCTCATGGCTGCGAACTTTTTGGATTGCTAAAGTTAGAGATAATGTAGCAAATTAAAACATTTTTAGATTTTTGTTTTGAATATTTAAAATGTTTTTTTCATTTACATCATATGAAACTTTTTTTTTTTCTGTCATACTTTTATTAGTATTAAAGGGTTTCATTTTAATGTAATAAATGGATAGGGCAGAATGCATCACTTGCCCCAGAATGTGACAAATATGTTGCCCCCCCCCCCCATAAATCTTTCCTCACCTCTCCACCTTAATAAAGATGTGTTTGGTGAGCACTTGTCAGTTGCTACCTTGTTCTATATGACTTTAAATAACAGAAAAATCTGCATCCCCTGTTGTGTATTTTGGTGTAGCTCAAGTAAAACATTACAAAATGGATGAAACATGACAAAAACAGTAAGCGGAGAAATTGCTAAATGATAACAATTGCACTTTTAAAAAAAATATAATACAAAAATAATAATGTATTTCATTATACCCTGTATCCTTTGTAATAGGAGTACATTGGTTGCTTTTCATTGTAAGAGGTAACCACGCTTGACATTGTGTTAGGAGTATATGTTACATACTTTTAAGTCTAATTAATGCTGGTTCTGCCAAACAGAACGTTGGATGAAAATAAATTTTGGGAAAACGATGACCTTCTAATTTAACATGACCTTTTATGGTGACGCGCAGAACCTGGAATGAAAACATGGATTCTTCTGTGCCTGTGCCACTCTAGTAAACCACTGTTCTATCAACCAGCACAAGATGTTTTGTGATTTTCCACGATGGTGAACTGTTAAGTCAATAGTGTAGGTACATTGTGACCACATCAACAGTTAAGTATTTAGTGTCAAAAGGGGTGCACATGTTACAGAAAAAAGCTATGGACACATGAAAAGATATTTCAGGTACCCTTTTCTGATTTACCCCAGAGAAAGTGAAAAATGGTACAAGCTGATATGATATTCTAACTCTGAATAAATGTTGCTTTGAACATGCATATATATCCTTATGCATCAGCGAATGTTAAATGTGGTTACTGCATGATACACTGTACTGCTAAATATACAGTGAATATAGTGATATAATGAACATGGCGATCTGGCTTATTAAGTTGATCCCCATGTCAACCATATCAGGTGGGAGCTCATATCACATCTCTTATCATGGGCTAAAGAGTGAAGATATTTTTTTTTTGCAGGTAACCTCAAGAGCCTTAGTCAGATTACACTCCAGTTGAATGAAATGTTCTAAACTTTGCTGACAGATAAATTACTTCCTATGCTTTAGACAATCCAGCTTTTATGTACAAAGAGGAATGAACAGCTAGGAGGTTTTAAAGTAGTTGCGCATTTATATGTCTAGGAGATTACATCTGATTTATTTTTAAAATAAAAAGGAGCTTAGATGCTATGTAAATCAGATATCACCCAAGTGTATTAGAAGGCCATGTGATAAAAGGCAAAATCAATTAACAGCGTAATTAAAGATTGAATATGAGTGTGTTGTTACCAATTTTCTGATTGTGATAACATTTTAATAACTTAAAGACAAACATGAAAAAAAGATCAATATTTGGGACAACTCCGTATCAGGGATGTCAGGGAGGTCATAGCTCATTGGGCAGGTCATTGACCCTCCACGGGGTCTCGTGCGAACTCAGTGGATTTTAACACCGTATTTATTTTATTATTTTTTACGAAATTGTGTCGTAAAGCTGCGAAACAGTGCCTTCACGACCTTAAAAAAGTGAGAGGTGAGCGGGCGCACATCAGCGGATTGTTTTCCTCTGTCAAAACAACTTGTCTCACGTGACTCCCTGACGTACTGTCCTCCACTCTGCGCTGATGCAGGGGGGGTTTCCATCATGGCGTCGATGCAGGTAAGAACACAATTCACAACGAACGCGTATTTATAAATTACCTGACCGTCAGCCTGGTCTTTCCTGTTAGTTTATTAACCACTTCATTTAGGTACATGTATATGGTCGAAGTAGCGGTGAGATTTATCCTGAACTGTTAGCGGGGGTTAGCGCTAGGTCTTTGCTAGCAGCAATACAACTAGCCCATCACCACCAACAGCACCAAGCCGAGGCTGGCGTAGAAACCTGCTTCCTGGATATACATATGGATGAGTGGCGATTTGGTTTATTCGCAGCAACTCACGGATGACAATTCATTGAGTGTGATGTTATGAGTTGAAGTTAATTGTAATATTTTTACGGAGGGCTAGCTGCTATTTTGGGCTGGCGTTGACGTTAGCTAGCTAACGAGACGGTGCGCAGATTGAGCAGTTTCCTCTTGAGCTGAACAGGTGCATCGCTTTCTTAAGATAGCGGTTGCGAATAGAAACTAAAAGCCCATAAAACCCGCTTTATTAATGAATATACTGATGAGCTGTTGCTTATATCTAACACTTAGCTATCATCTGTCACAGTTAGTTTGATGTTACAAGTTAACGTCAGGGTGGAGTTGCTTTAACTAGACTACATTTAACAACTACAACACAAGACGTCAGCTATAACGTTAATAATTAAACTATATATCCAAATATAATTGATAATTTACCGTGGTTTAGTTATGGATCTCTTTGTATAATAAAGGAACACGTACGTTTTTGGAAAAGCTCATTTCTTTTATTTGATATCCCTCTTTTATTTCTTTACTATGGTTTGTTTATTTTCGTGATATTTCAGCATGTTTGAGTGTGAAACACAAACATATTCTCTCCCACAGAAAAGGCTACAAAAGGAATTATTAGCCCTGCAAAATGATCCACCCCCTGGAATGACTCTTAACGAGAAAAGTGTACAGAACACCATTACACAGTAAGTATTTTTAATATAATTTTTTTATAAATTATTTTATAACACAGTAAACAGAAGAACACAAGGATAGCCTACACCTAGTGGCAGTCATTGTAGTAGATTTCCATTTTGAATAAACAGAAATGTCATGTGGCTTTTTATAGTGTAACGTTTTATCACTATGAGAGAGCTGCGTGGTGAGCATGAATGAATTAAGGGTTACTGTTGCAATATAAGTGGTGGGAGGTATTAAGACATAAAGCTCTTGTAGCCTCAGCAGCGACTGGCGAGGAGCAATCGAGGTCATTCCAGTGACTGGCAGCTCTCAGTAGAGTGTCTCTAATGCACAGTGTCACTATTCATCCTTATAAAATATTAAACAGTTGGCATGCAGGAGTTGGGCTAGGGTAGCAAGGAACAGAGGCTGCTTAGCTGACCTTTCTGTCTGGGTGTCTTGGTGTTCCCTTAAAAAAAACGCCTGTGATTGTGTTATCTGAGTGAGTCAAATTATGTCTGATAAGCAGTAAGGATGAAGTTGTGGTCCTGGAAATGGATTTGAGACACATTTCTGGCCGTCCTTCAAACGTCTTTCAGCTGCAGGCCTGCGACATTGACTTTGAAAGTTCCTACCTGGTTGTGCTCGTCTTCGAGCTGTTTGGCACTTTTGCCGCCCTTAAAGAGGCTGTTGCATGTTACAGCACTTGTGTCCAGTTTAAAAATATGCAACTATGAGAGATCCATTGTGTTGGCATCTCTCTCGTTAGATAACAAAGGCCTTGTGAGAATGTCTTGCATGACTGACAAGTCTCCAAACCAGTTCAGCTGGCTTCCGCTTTGCATCCCAGGTTGTGTGGGGGCGTGCCCTTTCTCGTCATTTCAACATCAGCATTTTATCACTCGTGTCGTAATGGAGTACGATACAAATACTCTGTTCCTGCTTGACATTCAAGCTGGCCTATCTTAAAAAAACAAAAAAAGACTAAAAACTCACTAGTGGCAATGCTGTGCTCATGGCGGTGATAAGGTGACCATGTGTTTTTAGTTTTAAAGCTTTTGTTTATACCTTACACTGTCTCTCTGTGTTCCTCATTAGATTACAGTGTCTTTCAGTTCACTGTGTGATAGTGCAGATGGCTTAGCTTGATGCTGTAATGAGTCAGCCATTGCAAACAACACAACCGCTGCTTTTAAGCAGCAGAGTCTCATTCACGTACTCAGTTTTCCCCACTTTCAGTAAATGGCTCAATGTTATTTTTGTTGACTAGATGATGTAATTACCAGGCTATGGGGAATTTGAGCAAGTTGAGCATAACGTCCTTGGAGTCCTTTCCTGTGTGCAGCGTGGGTTGCATCAGGTGTAACTCAGCATCATGTTCGGTGACACTGCCTCCCTCTGAGCTTTTACGTCCTGGAGAAACAATGGAGCTCCTCTCAGACACTTTGACCATTGGACTTTGTAAGGGTGAAGTTTTAAACAGGATTGACCTCTCGTGTAGAGTGACCATGTGCCTGAGGCTAGATTTAAAAAGACACACAAGGCTATAAACCCGAACAACAGCCACAAGTCTCTTCGGCGTCCTTTCTGCACTACTTGCCTAGAAGAAATTAGGCCAGAGATTATGATGCTGCCATCAGTGCTCCTTTTTCATTTCCTCAGCACTCCGAGCAGACAGTCCTCATAAATGTTAAAAAATGCCTTAAATATTTTAGCTTTTTTTCTGGCCAGTGAAGCAACATCTAGCTTATTGAACATGTCGACTGCCCTTCATCCCAGAGACCCAGGATCGAGCCCCTGTGTGAAATCATCTCCCATTCTAAACAAGACATTGAATCCCTCGCAGCGCTGTAAGCACAGTCCTGTAGCCCGGCTACAGAGTCAAAAATAGATTTTGTCCAGTAGATCAATAGAGTATCACATTATTACTAAACCACTGTCATAACCCAGCTGAATATTGAATGTCACTGGAATGAGTCAGACTAAAAGCTTTTGATTACATACTTACTGCAGCATCGGCGGCTCGCATTTTGTATAATTCTTTTTTATTTTTTAAAAAGAGATGTTGTCCGTGCAAGTCATTCGTTACATGTTTCCAACTAATCTACTCCAGAATGATGAGCTGGAACATAGAGCATGTTGTTAATCATTAGTAAACAAGACTAAGAGTCCACAGTAATGCTAGCGCTGTGAGGCTTAGCCATTTACCATCTTAGTTAGCGAGATACCATGCTAATATTTGCAGGGAACACAAAGTACAGAGTCTGACCTTTTACACGTACAAGGAATTTGCTTTAAAGCCACTAGGTAATAACAGACAAAATAAAATATCTGAAAATTGCAATTGACAAAATATAGCCTGCAAGTTTTAGAAGAATAATAGAGACTATGTGCAAAATGGAATTTAACTATTTACATGTGCATAAAAGAAATCAAATGCTGAGGCCGATGGGAATTTTATTAGTTTTGCAGGGATTTGGTCATGAAACAAAGTATCGGACAAATTTAAATTTTGACTAGATGATGATACTAGATGAAATTTCAGGGGATCCCCAAAGTTATTACAATTTATTCTGAGGGGGAGATTGCGTACAGGGCTCCACAGTGGGACCAGTTTGTTAGCACATACGGCCAAAACTCTATCGAATTCCACAAAAAAAAAATTTTTGGGTCACACTAGTGCACCTAACATTTGCAGGACAATGTTTGTTGCGTTTATTGTTTTGTGTGTGGGTGTTTTCCCCAAAACTCACTTACAGAAGAAGGTGAGAACCAATCAAAAGCAGAGAAGGGGCGCTATACTAATGCGGTGACTCAGCGTCAGTAACTTTGGCGTTGGCAACGCACGTACCCTCGCGTTTATAATTGCGTTTGTGTGCGTGTCGCCGTGCAAGTACACCGCCAAAATTCTAGTTGGCCGTGGGGTTTCAATGTTCCACTGTGTTGACTTCTCCCTGTGAGCCAGCTAACGTCCGGTTTAGCCCTCTGCTAACTTGAATGGAGGCACGATAATAATTGTGTGGCTCTCTAGACTTTCCAAATGTTGTCGACTGAATGGATCAAATTCTGATAGTGAAACGAGTCATTTCGCGGGGGTTGTGATGCTCAAAAGAAGGTATCCACCATTTAATATAAATATGGATAAGACAAATGCCTTTGGTGTGAGAGACCAGGGTTCGATTCCCACTGTGACCCATCCACCATTGTGTCCCTCTGCAAGACGCTTGGAGCATTTCCTGGGGGCTTGGAGGAAATGATTCTACCAAGCCAACCAATCTTTTCAGTTTATCGGCACTTTTTAAGTTTTGTTTTACAATAATTAAGTTTTGTTTGTGCTGTATTCAAATAAAGGAAAACTTTTACCTGTAGGTGTTCATGTTTACAATCATTTACATAACTATCATTGTGTATGGGAAATGACTGGTTAGAAGGTTAGAATATACTGTTATGGCACTAAAGGTGATGTGAAATATTTAGTTGCACCTAAATTTTGTGGCAGTGCACCTAAATGATAATGTAGGTGCATAAGTGCAACTACACAAAAAGTTAGCCTGAAGCACTGGTGTATGTACCAAATTTCATGGCAACCCATCCAATAGTTGTTGAGACAGTTCGCTCAAGACTACATGCCGATAAAAAGAAAAGTCAGGGAATCACCAAATTTTTTAGGACGCAACATCTGGGCACCGTGTATGGCTATACAAAATGTCATGGCAGCACATCCAGTAGTTGTTGAGATATTTCAGTCTGGACCAGAGATGGACCAACCAGCTGACAGGCAGACATTGTCATCTTTAGAGTAATACTGCTAGCATGACTTAAAAAACAACGAAATAAAAAAATTTCTTCCCAAAGCACAAGAAAAGGTTTGTTGTTAAAGCAAGTGTTAACCTGATATCATGACTTGACAGGAGGAATTTAGTAACTCTGGTGTTATATGCTCTATTATATTAAAAATATTTTGCAAATAGCCTTGAAGTTGTCACTGGGTGTAGAAAATAAAGAACATTGAGAAATCAAATGTCACATCTCTCAGTTGGTCTTTTCAAACTGCAGGAAGCGTTTGCTTATTTCACTTTGAGAGTGAAACACTGAGTGTACTCGAAACAGCATATTTAATCAAAAACTCTTAAAAATTCAGATTCAACCAAGGGAAACCAGCTTACCAACCTCTGGACTTTGAGGTCATGAACATTAACCCAAACTGTTTCAAACTGAGCTGTAAACAAAGTTTAACATGTAGAGTTTCAGACACTGCATATCTTTTGTTTACGTGTTAAGTTATATGGTTTAATCTTTTTATTTGAGTGAAATGTTTACCTTTTTTTAATATTTTTACTTTTATTTTAGGTGGATTGTAGACATGGAGGGAGCACCTGGCACACTGTATGAAGGAGAGAAATTTCAGCTGCTTTTCAAATTTAGTAGTCGGTATCCTTTTGATTCACCTCAGGTAAGCAGAACCGTGGGTGTGTGTGTGTGGGTAAACATGAGGCTGTTGGTGTTCTCAGCTTGGAAAGTGCAATTCACTTACCGTTTTGTCTTGGGGACCTAGAAAGTCTGCTTCTGCCTTGACACACAAGCTGTTTTGCAAGGTGTGGACACTCATACACTCATACTCATACCTGGAGTCTAGTTCCATTTAGTTTTCCTGACTAAATGTCCACTATCAATTCTCTGCGATAGTATGAACTATGCATTACAAAACAGATTCATATGCTGCCAGTTTGCAGGTATATTGTATAGAGGTGCCACTTTCCAAACAAAATCAATCACTAAAGACCTTTGTAAACAATCCTCTATATTTAGGTCTGGATGCCTGCGATAATCACATGAAACGCATCGGCCCGGCACTTGTTAGTGGAATGTACCTCGGCTTGGAAACACTGGAGCCAGGAGTCACTGACAGACACGCCAGCGCAGAGCTCCCACTGAAGCCACGTTTGAGGGGATTAGTTTAACTCAACAATCTTGTTTCCCTCATCAGCAACCTGGCCTCCTAAAAATAGAGAAGGAGTCAGTGTAGAGAAAATTAGATAAACCTCGCCATTTAGCTACTATCTTGTAAAACAGGAAAGACAGGCTGTCCCAGTGGCCGCACAGCTTTGCTTCCTGGCTTGTTTTTTTTCCAGTGGCCTTTTGCGGTTTTGCAATGAATGCGCTCCACAAAAACATTTTCCCCATAGGTCACCATTATAAAAGCGACGTCTGTGAAACAGTTGACAGGACTGCAAACAAGGTCAATTACGACTCTTTATGCATTTTTGATCCATGGCGGTTATATATCTGTAAAACCTTCTTTGTGCCGAGGAAAAACGATTTTTAAAATTTCATCACAATTTAAAGTCTTAACGGCCGAGCGGGAACTCGTGGACGGGGCCAACAGGAGAAACTGCGCATATTGGGGGTGCTGCATACCCCTGGAGTAAACCTGGAAGCTAGTTTTTTGGCTAAAGAGCCAGCAAGCAATTCCTATTGGACTGAATAGGCGCCATCTTGGGGTCCAGTATCCAGGTCTTATTTATACATCCATGGTTGGACTCTTTTTGTGGCTCCTGAAGGAGCTTCAGGGTTAACTGCTGCAGTGCATAATTGGTTGTCTGAGGAGCTTACAGGGCAAATCTTTAGCGCACAAATATGTAAATGTGATAGTATGAGTGCAGGAGTTTGTAACCCTCCCCCCATAGTGAACGCTATAGAACCGATCAGTGTTTGTTTACAGTAAAATTCGGGTAGAAAACTGCATCACGTACATAGAATTTAATGGCAGCTACAGGTTGAACAATTTCTTTTCAGTATATTATTTCGAAGTGTGTACATCTCATTGATCTTAAGTGCATGTTTTATTCTTTCGTATCTCACTAATAACTCTTCAGCTAACATTAGCTTGGAGACCTAATTCACTTGTTGGGCCACAGAAAATGCACGTACCCAAAAGTAGTCCGACAGGCAGTGAGATGTCGCCTTTGGGTAGATTTGGAGTACAGTGCATAAAATAAGCACAGCAGAAACATCAGGTCGGACCACCATGTTTAACTATATATCTTTAAACGTTACAGTTACGCCTGAAAATAGAAATAAATAAATTTGCAGATTCGGTTTTGCAGATCAGTGTCTGTCTATATTGAAATTGATTTTGTTCTGAGTGTACAGTTAAAAGAAGAGGCCCAAGAGTTCCAACAGAGAGACATAAGGCAAAAGTGAAGATATTTATTGAATTATCTGTTAAACACAAAACATCTAACGCAGTAGTAAAAGTAATAGTAGAAGTAGTAATAAAAAATACCACAGTAGTCGTAGCATAAGCTGTAATATAACATCAAAATAGGAATACAGGCTCGTGCTCAGACCTCTGCGCTTTGTATGTATATAATATGTGTATATAATAACCTCCCCTGCACTCCCCCCTGTGAGGCCCTGTCTGGTGCCAGCCTGCCTCAAGCCATTGTTACCCTTCATTACCCTCTTTACCCATTCTGACTCACCCGTTCTCTCAACTTTAGCATCTCATACTTGAGTTCCACACTTTCTGTTCTCTTCCTGTTTAGCTCTGATTCTTACACCCTTTCACTGGCCAACACCTTTTTATAGAACACGGCTTCTTCTTTTTTATAAAACATGTCTCCTCTCTTCCCCTCTCTCACCCCATCCCGGCCCCTCCGCCCTAATCCCAGAGCCTCATGTCGCTGTAGAGGACTGAGGCCGAGCTTGTACAGCAAGTCTCATTCTTTTCTGTCATTAATGAACAAATATCGACTTCTTCCAGACATGTGCGCTCACATGTTGTCTTTGACCACCAAAATGCCCTCAATTCACTAAAAAGGTCCTCTATTTACCATCATATACTCACCATCTTCATAGGCTTATTATTATGACATTTTCAATGAATGATCTTAATAATCGCTGGTTTGTCATTCTTTGTCTCACAGGTAATGTTCACAGGAGAGAATATACCTGTCCACCCTCATGTGTATAGTAATGGTCACATCTGTCTATCTATACTGACGGAAGATTGGTCGCCCGCCCTCTCAGTGCAATCAGTTTGTCTTAGCATTATCAGCATGTTGTCCAGCTGCAAAGAAAAGGTAGGGAACCTGTAATGATGCCTGAGGGGGTCAAATATCGTGATTCATTAAAAATGACGTGCTTGTTAAATGGAAAAATCTTAAATGCCTGTTTTGTTTTGTTTTTCTGCAGAGACGACCGCCTGATAACTCCTTTTATGTAAGAACGTGTAACAAAAATCCAAAGAAGACAAAGTGGTGGTATCATGGTGAGTTATTTTTAATATAACTTTGGCTGGAGGCCGTAAAAGTAATTTCCTGTCATTCTAAATGTGATATTTAAATATTTTTCTTATTTGCCTTCGCAGATGATACATGCTAATGTACAAACTTTGTAATAATCGTAGAAGAAAGAAGTCCTACTGACCTACGTAAAGCACTTTTTAATCATTCAGTCTTTGAACTCTGACCTTTGACTGGAACAATGGACACCATGCGCTGGAGGCTCTTGACTGCATTTCCCCCGTGGACAGTTGGATGCATGTTTTTTAGGCGGTTGTAATATAGAGAACGAAAATAACGGAGCGTTTAGATGCACCCAAGATGGATCGTTTTTGGCGTAAAACTAGTAATGCAGCAAGCGAGCAAGGTGGATTTGTAGTGAGATAATTATAATTCCTGTTTTAAGATTATTATTGTTACTTTTTTGTTTGTGTGTGTGTGTGAGAGAGAGTGCATTTTAAGGTCCTAGTTGTGCAATAATAACTGATGGATGCATGCTTGGGCCTACAAAGAGAAAATCCAAATTTAATCGTTTTCTGGAAGGGATCTGACCATCAAAACCCCAAGAAAATGCTTCATCTGATTTTTTTTGTTTGTTTGTTTTGTTTTATAAATTATATGCACTGTGAAAGGTATCTAGTTTAAAAAAGGCACTATTGGTATGTTATTCCCAGCTTGCAGTAGTGCTGTAATCAGTCCTCCATTTATTTATCAGGTTAAAGGCTTATAGTTTGCAACACTGTACCAAGAGTAAAAACAGTTTTCTTCTTCATCTTCCAACTTGAGACCTGGCTGCAGTTCTTCCTGCCGTCGGACAGGATGGGTATAATACAGACGCGACGATAGATGTCTTAGTCAGCAGATGACCTCAGTGTGCATCTATTTCCTCGTAAAGTTGGGCTGAACTCATGTAGTGTTCGCTAGTCCAGCCTTGAAGATGTGCAGTGACCACTCTCTTTCATTTAAAGAATGTCCGTAAGAGAACATTGTTGCATGATCCATTTTTATTTGTATGATACTTATTTTTATTTTTATTTAATGCTTTTACTCTTCTAAAATGTTTTGATTTTTAAATATCTTGAGTTCCTTTTTTTTGTACTGTTTTCAACTAGCTCATACTTTGAGTGGGGGTGTTTGTTTGATGGGTCAGTATGTTTAGGGTTATTATTTTCCTGTATTATTTAATTTAAATCTTTGTTCTCCAGAACGGTAATGAATGACGAAAAGGAGTCTTTATAGAAATCTTAAAGACGAGGCTTTTGTGACCCCCCCCCCCCCCCCCCCCCGTCAGAGTTTTGGCTCAGGTACTTTTTTCAATAAAGAGATCACCTCTAAAAATATACCTATCAGATATTTTGAATTTAACTATATTTTCACCAAAAGAGACTGTTATGTTGTAAACTTATAACATGTCTGAAACTGATGTATATAAGTCTTTGCATTGTTGGATGATGTGAAAGAAATTAGCAGAGGATGCATTTACTTTATAGTAGAATGATAATAGGAGTGCTTTATTTCATTAGAAGTTCGCCTGCATCTTTTGCTAATAAGGATATGTACAGTTGGCAACTACTGTTGGTTTAAAAATAATAAAAAGGTTTCGTAGTTTTACAGTGGGGGTGCATGCAATTTTAAACCCCGCTTTTTTCTTATTGGCATCAGACATTGTGGCAACTTTGAAGTCTGCCTATGACTTAGAGAATGGTTTATAGGATGGATATTACAAACCTCACCTCCGGAGGCTGCGTGGCTCTTTGTCATTTCAGACTGTAATCGCTCCATTCCACTAGAAATGTTTTATCGCCATCCAGTCAGAGATACTTGAATTTTCCATCTTGGGTTTGTTTGTATTGCATTTGCTTTTTTCCAGGGTCTAGCTGAGTTATTTGAATGAACCTGAGTGAATGTGATGATACTCTATACTGTAGAGAAGATTACCAGAGCACACCGCTATCTCAAAAACTATATTGATAACTTAAAGACATCTATTTAACCAATGATTTTTTTTTTTAACTTTTTTTTTTTTATTATTAGCTTCATTGTAATGGTCTGCTGTCACCATGCTGTGAGGAAAAAACACAATAGGACTGAAATGATTGTGGAAATGCAGTCACAACAGCATTTGTGAGGGATCAAGAAGCCTTCTCCCAGTGGCCAGTGGATCAGTAGAGGTTTGAAGAACTTGCGAGTGAATATGTTACATGGGTTTGGATGCGACATGGTTTTTTTTTTTTTTTTCTTTTTTTTTTTCTTCCTTGGTTTTTCCCATTTCAATGTGGTTTGAACTCTTAGCTTGCAGGTTGTTGTGAGTGATCAACACTAATGAGGGTGTGTTATTTATATTTGAAATTTTGTTCTGGGATGTGCAAGCTCCATGTAATAGGTGCCTGTTCATTTTCATAATCAATAATAAAAGCAAAGATTCACTTTTATTCAACCTTGGTTTGCAGTTTTGTATTTTCTATGGTGGTTGTTTTTTTTTTTTTTTACTGTAGCCGGTAAAAGCCTTTTATGCATCTGACATAAATTAAAACTTAATAGTACCATAAAAGGATGATAGATGGGGATATGGATGATGACTGCCAAATTCAGAAAGAAAATCACATTGCCAAAAGGATCCAAACAACATGTTTGAGGACATGTAGGTCTCATCAAGGATGTCCAGACAGTTCCCAGTTTAACAGAACGCACAGATCATGTCACAGAAAAACTTGCACACCGTCTACCATGTGAAATTACATCAGGCAGACGATCATTAAAACATTTTTTTGTGCCAGTCGTTTCACAGAAGGGTTTTCAGAAAGTTAAATTCTTACACTTGAGTACGGATACACTAAGGCTATAGATGCATCCATTGCTCTCTTTAAAATTTATTCAACATAGGGCCAAACTTCATATATTTTTTTCTTAATTGTGTGCTGGTATATGCATGTTAACATTTAGTCTTGTATGCTAAAATAATATATTTAACCACACTCCCTCACGACTTACTATAATAATAAAGGGTCATGACCTTGACATCGCAAGACTATTGTATGGAAAAAAACGCAGCTGGATGTTTTCATGTTATTTCACTGCAGGAGAGGAGAAACACCGTGTATAGTGTCATGTTTGAGGGTAGGGGCCTCTGTGACGAGGTCATCGCAGTAACACAAGAAAAATTGTTTGGTGGCACCATCTAGTGGTCACATTACAATATTACTCTTGTCAAAATCTCTTGAGGATCCACAATTCATCTTTTCACTTTTTCCTACCACACTTCTTAATAAACGGTTACCACTGGAATTGCAGTGGGCCCTCTCCAGCTGTGGGACCCCAGAACCATCAACACTGACTGGATGTGGTTTCCCGCACAAAGAGCTTGGTGACACAGAATCCAGACCTGGTGGTCTTGTGGTTTGTGAGACACTTAGCTGCATGCCTCTTCATTCAAGACCAAGGTAGACCCCTTTCACCCGAAGGGCCTTTCCGAGAAAAGACATTAAATCCTACCAGGGAGGTCCTGTCTGTAGGTGGACATGTGCTTCTCCAAAAGAAAAAAAAAAGGTTTATTACTAACTTCATATTTAAACTCACTCAGCAAGAAGCTTCCCCGAGACAAAATATGCCATGTAAGTAATTTATTTATTATTAGTATTAGTAATTAGAGTTGTAAACAGACGCTTATTTCAGGTCCCGGTGACACTCTGTTCATTTTCGTTCTGAATCAAAGTTACTGTTCGAGGCTCAGAGGAAGCAAACCAGGATTGAACCATTCATATCGCCGCGGGGGTGGCTGATTCATTCACGATTTACCACAAACTCTAATGATGCTAAGTTAGCAACACACAATACTTGACTCTGACCAAATAAACACCACACAAACTTTATACGTGAGATATCAAAATGACGAGTCATTTACCTCTATATTTTTTAATTTTTTCTCAGGCAAATAACGTGGTCTGTTCCCTCTTCCATCCAGTTCTCTTTAGTGTTTGCCAATGTCGGAGGTGTAACTGGGGTCTGGCCCTGGACAAAGGTAAAAATACCCTAAAATATTTGTCCCTTTGTTGGCGGATAGTCTCTGGATTATTCGTCACGCCGTCGCCAGTCCGTATATGATGTTGCGGTGGACTGAAAATCCCCAGACTTTGGTGGTGGATGGGGCGGGTATGGAGATGCTAGCAAGAGGGGTGCTCGGCCGATCAGCCATGATGAGCGTTAACCGGCTAAACTAGCGTTACTGGAGGTGGAAAGACAGTGGATATTAAACAGGAGAAATCACAGTGACATAATGATGACAGCGTGCATGTTTGCCAGCTGTGTTGGTTTGTTTTTAGGAGCTGACATTTGCGGGAAATCCTGTTACCGCCTCGGTAAGGTTAGCCTCCTGCTAAGCTGCATACAGTCGAAGCTATAATGTAGGTTCAGGGGTTGCTGACAACCCTGTAGCTCTGTCAACCTCAACGCAACAGCCCCCTCCACATTCAACTCACTGTGTAAGACAACCATGCATTCGGGTTGCTGTTAGGCATTGCGTTTGCTCAAGTTGCTGTTAGAGAGGAAAAAGAAAGCAAGAAAGATTGTGACCCCGAGAACCGCAGGTGCAGGCAAGATGCAGCGGAACAATCAATTGCAGTGCAATGATTTATGGTCACAAATCAAAAGAGAACTTTCATTGTATTTTGTGGGTATTGTCGTTATCAGTTGTTTTATGGACATGCTACTGCTCTGTTTACATCCGTGCAACCATGGCCCTTAACTGTAAACAATGGACAATGTGACACTTTAAATCATCACAAGTTTACAGTTAACATTTGGAAACTGTCTGTGATATCCAAAACCTGCCTCCATTTTAATTATTGACTAAATATATTGAGAGTTGTGTGCATTTTATTAAATTCCCTACTCTTCCCGGGGACATGGTGATTGAAGATGTTGTCCATCACCTGGAGGTGAAGCCAGCATCTCATGAAAGATCCCAAGTGCAGTTTCTCCACACTCTAGGGGTTCAGTTCTGCATCTGAACCTTTGCTCTGACCTCCCATGCGACGTGAAAAGAATTTCCCTCATATCCCTTCAGTGCCTGCCACATATTAATGTGAGCCCAGTAGTGGAGCTATCTTGGCAAGATGCTTGTGCCTTTTGAATTCATTTTTTAACATTTTACTCTCTCCATCTTCACCTGTTGTTGATGAAAAACACATAGTATCATATTGTGTTACTTACATTGCGTAGCCACAGGCTGAGACATGTGTGTAATTGCATTCAAAATATTGCATGCATGCATAAAAAGATAAAAAAGGGAATTTTGGGTATTTGTTAGACCCTGTCCTCTGTTCATGTTAACATATGTTTACTTCATGCAGGACTTCGTACCTCTCTTTAGTCTCCACTAAAATGTGATTGAGCGTCTATTGTCTTGTTCAGGCTGCTATCACAGGATTCTCTCCTTTTTCCGGGGGGCTTAGCAGCAGTAACATGAGCAAAGCTCCTTCAAATAAAGGTTCATTGTCTGGGTGTATTAGCTGCCAGTGGATCAGAATGTGAGATAGGCCCACGGCTGCTCGGTCTGAAGTCTGTTCTCCAGGCTTTGCCCACAGAAATCTGTTAAATGACAGCAGGGTGGTTTGCATTTTACTAGATCACCATTGTTTTTAAGCATTTGCTATTTGAATGTGCATATTTTATCAGGATTTGGCTGGTGCAAATTTTGTGCTCTGAATGACAGTGAACAGCTTTAAATTGTGGAGAAACTGGTGGGGACTAATGTTTGACAAATGCAGGAAGTATAATCTTGGTATTTTTTAACCTCGGTATCTTTTAGGTAAGTTTCCTTCAATTGTGCCATAGGTTCATCCACTAGTTTCTTTGACAGGCTCAGACTGTTATACCAGATGTCTGACAACATTATGAGAAGGATCCCTACGAGTGACTCATGGTGACACCCTTTGTTTTTAAAAGAAAACAGGAGTCTCCATCAAGGACACTTCTCGCTCTAAAAATCTCGTGAGAGGCTGGTCACCAGGAGTCCCTCATAGGGATCCATACCATAGTGTTGTTAGACACCTTGCATAACAGTCTGAGCCTGTCGGTGGCAAAAAGAAGCACTGTTAGTGGATGTAATTTTGATGGGCACAATTGCTCCGTCGGAATATGTTGCAGCCACTACAGCCGGTTCGCTGCTGCCGGCGGAAGCCATCTACTGCACAGATTCCAAAACTTTTAGTACCTATTATTCATTTGATTCCAAAATAGGTGAAACTAGGTTTAAAAATACTGCAAGTATCCTTATTAAAATATTTATTTTGCCCAACACTAGTCTCTTTAAAGTGTTATGATCTGTAATGGTCAGTGTGTGTATGTGTGTGTGTATATAATATGAAGATCATTGTTGTATGGTTTCAGGAATAGAGCATGGCTCAAGTGAAAGTACAGACCTCAGCACCCCTGGCTGGTCCTGGCCTCTCCCCCGGAGTTCCCCCGACGGCCATGGCCAGCCCAGGATCCCTGGGTCTGCAGCCCTCCGTCAACGGCACAGGCCCGGCCCCCACACCCGCCTGCCCTGCTCCTGCAGTCGGATATGGGGACGCCCCTGTGTCTGCCACATCGCCAGGTACGACAACGGACAGAATAGTTTCCCTCCATTTTTTAATTTCTGATAAATAATGAGCTATGCCCCAAATAGGTGAAATGTTTCAGTGTTGTGAATGTGCCAGCATTGTACAGTTAACGTGTACAACTTGTGTACTCATGGTGGTCATAGAAGAATATTCATTGTGTGATAAGAAAAGAATGAAATCAATTCAAGCTACAAAGAAAGTTGCAATATCAGAATGGACCTTGCTTTTATTAGACCTTGTCACAACCCTGTTCTACTTGATTAAAATCTTATGTTATTGATCTGATAACCCTGATAATATTTCTTATCATTAAACTGACACTATAGTGTTGACTCATAATCACTAGCCTGTAAGATCCTGTAGATTTGAGACAAACTGAAACACCCCTGAGCCCCTTCCCATCTACTATTGAAGGAAAATATCTTATGCTTGTGTCTCCCTTACAAATTGACAAAAAAAATTTTGTGAGTGTTTTGTTTACAGAATTTTGTCTCATGAGCATAAGACAAGACAATTACATGTGAAATTTGTGTTATACAACATTTTTTACGTATGAATGAAACACACGACGCATTCAAAAATACAAAAATCCCCCAGTTCAGTCATGTGATCTGTCACTCAATCAGACTATAAAATGCATTATATCAATGCGTGATTATTTGTTCATGTAACTCTAAGCATGTCACTCATTGCAACTTGTATTCTGCTGTGCTCTGTCTTAGGCCCGCCCCAGGAGAACATGGCAAACCCTAAAGAGAAAACTCCAATGTGTTTGGTGAATGAGTTAGCCCGTTTCAATAGGATCCAACCACAGTACAAGCTCCTCAATGAGAGAGGCCCTGCACATGCTAAGGTAAGGAACCGTGTGGAGAAAACGGTGATTGTCCTTCATCTTACTTTTTACAAATCAGTGATGGGGTCACAACAACAAATTTTTTCCTATTGTCAAAGTTGAATGATTATGTTCATGTCATGTTGAGGTAGTGCTTATTTTTGGCATTTCCTCTGTGATGACATTTCAGTTTTTTTTTATTTAGTACATCTCATAAATGAACACAGCTCATGCAGAATACCGCTCCTACCATGTGTGTCCCAGATTGGCTTTTGGTGCAAATGTAGTTGCTGTCGGGTAATTTCTGTCCCCCTGGGTGTCACTGTTCCAGATCTTCACAGTGCAGCTGACACTTGGGGAGCAGGTGTGGGAGGCAGAGGGCACCAGCATTAAAAAGGCCCAGCACTCCACAGCTGCCAAAGCGCTGGACGAGAGTATCCTTCCTAGGCCGGCGCCCCGCTCCCCTAAAGTGGACATCAACAGCAACCCAGGTAATGTAACCACATCAACATCTCATTGTACTGTTTCTATGAATGTGTCTGTGAAGGATTACATTTAAACCAACTTGTTGCTAATGTGCTAGGCCCTCTGATATTATACAGGTAGATAATTTAACTGAGGCAGATTGAATTGTTAAAAGGTACATAGAAAGTTTAATATTTGTCATCAGCCTTTCCCTAAATGAAGTGTTTTCTCCCCGTCTGAAATGTTCTTGGTAAATGGAGTCAGCCCAGATCGCAAAGACTAGTCCATGTCTACTTTGTTTAATGCTTTTTGATACATTGAAAATATAACCCCTTTTTCTTACTTCGGCGGTGCCTCAGCTTCAGCAGCAGATAGCAGACGCTGGCTGCATCAGCCAGGCAAAGTAGGATGGGATAATGACCTGTCAGAAAAAAAGTGGACCTCATTAATTGTCAGTAGTGAGCTTTATGTTTCATAAAAGGTAAGCTGGTTGCGGCTCCTACTATTTGTACTGTATTTGAACTAAGTGTTTGTAGTAAGACAGTGTTTTTAATGAGACATTTGCTCTCAGCTTTTTTTCCCCACACAATAAATTAATCATAAGTGCAGTGGTGGACAGTAATTAAGTACATTTACTCAAGTACAGCACCTAATTTGTGCTTTACTCGAGTATGTTCTTTTCATGCCACTTTCTACTTCTGCTCCACTACATCTTAGAGGGAGATATTGTACTTTTTACTTACATTTATCTGACACTTTTATTTACTAGTTAAACGCAAAACATATGAAGACTTAATAAAATATGCTTTGTTAATAATAAGCTACCCAACATTTTATAGAAGTACAGCTGACATGATTATTAGATTGAAATTGAAATTAACTGGCAAGAATTTTAATCATTTAAGACAGTTATTATGTAAAAACATGGCACGGTTCCACCTTCCCAAATGTGAAGATTAGCTGCTTTACCTTTTCATTATTTAAATTGATTTGTAATAATTTTGAGCTTTGTACTGTGGGTTGGACAAAGCCAGCATTGTGAAGGTGTCGTTTTAGGCTCGGGGTAATTGTGACTGCATTTCTCACTATTTTCAGAATTTTGAAAATTGATTTAATGGTGAAAATAATCAGCAGATCAGTCCATAATGAAAATAATCATTAGTTGCACTGCGATACAAAATAGTTAAAAATGAGCTTCCCTTAAAAAATTACAACAGTAAAATCCTGCTTTTACATTAATGCATTAGTAATAATAATAATAGATAATAGTGTAACAGTCACAGGACATTTTTCTTTCTGAAATGAGTGCTTTTTCTTTTAATACTTTAAGTACATTTTCCTGATCATGTTTACATACTTTAGTAACATTTTCAATGTAGGACTTTTACTTGTCACAGAGTATTTTTACAGTGTGGTATTAGTACTTTTACTTAAGTAAAGGCTCTGAATACTTTGTCCACCACTGTCACACACGCACGCATATATATAACTGAGTAAAAGGGCAACATCTTTATAATGAATGCCATTGTTTAATAAATAGGAAAGTTTGCCTACTGTAGTTTTAAATTCTGTTTGTCATGTCGGCAACCCCTTACGTACATAACCATACTAATAATACCTTTTACTTTTGATACTTAAGTGTTTTTAAAAGAGGGTACCTTTGTATAAGCAAAAATTTAAATAGACGACTTCTACTTTTAGTGGAGTAATCTCTAGTACAGGATTTATGTACTTAGTCCACCACTGCTTAAGCCTCTCAACCAGTTTCCATTTTTTTGCAGTAAGACTATGTTTGTTTGTTAATTTGTTCCTCAGTTTATTTATAGCAAATGTTTTCAACTCAATAACTGCTAGTACAATTCTTGAGCATCTCACGGACTACTAAAGGTTTTTTACAAATGTTATTCCAAATTGAGCTTATTGTGTGACCGTGAAGGTATGGAGGGGTAGGAGGGACATGTTTTTCTTTCTCCTCCTCCTTATCTGGCAGATTCAACCTTAAAGAGGTAGTTCACATTTTGTACTGCTTTGAGCTAGTCATTGGTAGTGCTATTAATGCATGGACATTAACTGCAGCATGGGCCAGTTAACACATGACATCATAAACCAAAACACCACAATAAAAAAGGTTTTAAGCATCCAACACAGAATGCAACGTTTTTAGTAGGCTGCACGATTTGGAGCAAAAGTCATATTGCTATTATTGTGGAATATTGTGATTTATAAACAACACTCATCGCAGAGAAATGTACTGTAATTTGTGCATTGCAGCTTGTAGCATGTGGGACTTGTAGTTTTTGAACCAGGGTGGGAGTACACGATACACCAGCACGCCACCCTTTATGTAAACAAGATTACTGAATAATATTTATAACAGTAACTTTAGTAAAATAGATGTAAAACAGAACAAGGGAGTGTGTTGCTCTCAGGAAGTGGCGGCTAGAAGGAGCACATATTGGCACAATGGCATCCTGACTCTGGCTAAATCTACATCTGTTCACTGCAGAAGCACTATCCACAACCACGGAGGAGTAACTAGTATAATTGACTGTATAGTATAATATAACATTTAATAAAAAGTATTTAATGTTACTTGTACACTGCTCATTAATCATTTTTCTGGTTCGCACGTATCTGCTTTTAGGGGCATATGTGTGAGCAGACTGCAGTGTCACACACAGAGCACACTTTTCTGTTTAATTAAAACCGCACCCTTTTGCGGTTATGTAATCGCACAGATTAATCTAATCGCAACTGCAATGGCGATGTCGCGAATGCAGTTGCGATTGGATTAATCTTGCAGCTGTAATTATATAATATTTAGTGTAGTTACAATGCTTTATTCTTCCCTAACCTCTCTGTATCATCTTAACTATTCAACCAAGTAGCCGATATAGAGAAGTTATGAGAGAGGGGAAAAAAGCAACACCAACATTTCACTAAAGATTACAATTTGTCAGAAAATCTGAGTTGTTCCTTTTTTGAGGTTGCATTAGTGCCCTCTACTGTTCATTTTTGTTCAAGTGTTTTGGTTGACTGAGGTAAATCCATCTGGAGGGACACGGGGGAAAGCATCTAAAGTTGCTTCAGACAACAGCGTTTTGCTTTGGGACATCACTATTTTTAATGTGTGTGTGTGTGTGTGTGTAAGGAGAAAGAAGAGGGGTAAGAGGTGTCACGATGGTGTTTTTCTTTTTCCATTATTAATAGTATGTTTCAGTGTTTTAGGTTTTTACCTGGAGGAAGTTGGCTTCCAGGTGTAGCTGGAAATGCACTGGATATATTTAGATCATCTGTGTTCCGAACAAAGCCAGTACAGACCCTGTCAATAAAGCCTAAGTGCAGGCTTATGTTTTGTCCCTGGCCAAATTAATACCACTAGCCTGTCTTACCTCCGCTGCCCTCTATGGAGTTAAGAAAGCCCTGTTATGGGTTATGCAACATCAGTGTTGTGCTGTGGGATTAGCAGTGCATTCAGACAGGAAGGACTGTTTTTATGTAGAATACAGACATCCTCATATTTACAAAAATAAACAATTAGACTGCAAAGCCTGCTGGGGCTTTGGTGTTGTATTCTAAAAACTGAATTTGGAGCTTCAGATACAATTTATTCCTCCAATTAAGGACTTAAGGTTTTATTTGCTGATTTCAGATATGCAATGTTTTGTACTATTTTGGTATTTAATGTTTGCTGCAAATGTTAATTGCCTTGGTTTTAATCTTTCATATTTCCCCTCATGTACAGGCAGTATAACGCCCACAGTGGAGCTGAATGGTCTGGCCATGAAGAGAGGGGAGCCAGCCATCTACAGGCCTTTGGATCCCAAGCCTATGCCCCACTACAGAGCTAACTACAACTTCAGAGGGATGTTCAACCAAAGGTGAGCTCCAAAAACTGAACTTAGCCAGTTCCTGCTACCATTTCAGTCCCAAAGTAGTGACACTGGCTTATTGTTTTAACAAGGGGGCACATTTCTGTGCTACAGCATCATTTGTTAAAATTAGGATGGACACAGCATGGATACTCAACTGAACCTCTGTTAAACGTCTGTACTATCGCCTCCAAACCCTACACGATCACTTAAATTGCGCTGTAAGCAAACCAGCACTTCAGTTTCTCATATTCAGTGCAGTGTTGCTGCTGCAAAGTGATACACATAAATAGATAATGATGACACCTGTACTCTGTGATATCTATATTCCCTTTAAATTAAGCTAAAGGGGACAGTTAATTGTCTTGTTAACTACTACTGTTAATTACTGCCATCAAATGACTATGTATATGGAAGAATATCTCAGTGTTTTGCAACAGCTTTCTTTTCCCCATCCACATTAGAGAGAGAGAGACTAGCATTTTTGAATTTACCCTCTCTATCCAAAAGCTTCATTCTGGGTGCCTGAAGCTCTGGCTTAGTGTGGAATGGATAGGTGGCTAAAACGCAGAGGGAAGGTTGAGCTTTGAGATTTATCCTGCTTAGTGTGGACATGGTCTTTATGTATTTTGGATGGCCTCAGGCTGCTTTGTTTCTTTGATCCCACTGGCTTCAGATGTGTGTCAGACGTGGCCCTCCACTCCATATGTTTTCTAAACTGATGAATGTGGTGCCCTCATGGGGTCCCTTTGCACTCAGTCTCTGTCAAGTTTCTTTCTTCCCTTCGTTTTATCTGTTTTGCTGGAGCCATCCAGCTATTTCCAAAACTCCATAAAAATGCCACAGAGGTGCAATTAATGATCCCCCCCCTCTCCCTAAGTTAAGGAATGTTATTTAGGACTTTGGATGCTTTGGCTTGCCTAAGACGAAATCCAGGTGTGACACTTTGGTGAAAGAGAAATTGGTACATCTCTTTCTTGATAAAAGGCATAAATGTTGTCGCAGTTTTATATTTATTTAGGCTTATCCATTTGTGACGGTTTCACTGGTGTCAGCCTAATATAAATATTATCTTACCATAATAGTTTATGGAGTTTTTAGTGTTCTAAATATTATCATATAATTTTAAATACAGAGGCAAGGTTAAATAAGGTATGCAAACAATTTATCAAAGCCTAAGTTATGTGTCTCCAGAGCCTGGCAAATTTCAGTAAGCCAGTATTCATTTAGGTTAGTTTGAAATACATGGAGTTATTTTCAGGAAGCATTATGAGTCCCTCCAGATGGCAGTGTTTCCTCATTTAAAAAAACCTTCAGGGCTGCTTCTCTTAAAGTGATGGAGCACCCATTTTGTAACAGGCAACGTAGGAATGTGGGGATTTTAACATAGGTTTTCATAGATATGGATCTCTACAGTGTCGTCTGTAGAATTTATTTAGTGTTTTTATTAAAGCACTAAACACAGAAGACTGTAACAGAGAAGCGTGCATGTCTGTTTAGCTTCTTACATAAACTTTGGCTCATTAGAGTCCTTCGGTAAGGTGTTGTGATGCCAAATGTGTGGGATTTATTTTTAAAATGCAGATGCTTTGCCAGAGAAAGTCAGTGATTCAGTTGGAATGTTGGGTAACTGAGTCTAGTGAGCAGACAGTCGAGCATCTGGCTCACATCTTCTACTATTTGATCCATGCAGGAACAAACAGGGGGTGAAAGACAAATGTCTGTGGGGTTGAAGAGAAAATCTGTTTACCAGCATCTGTCTGTCAATGTCATATGTCACAGTGATGCATTTCTAAGAGACATGGCTGTATCTTTTCCTCATGGTCTGTTTTGTTTTCTTATGCCACTTTGTAAGGAAGTGAGAGAGGGGTGTGAGGGCATGTGTGTGTGTCTGAAACAGAAAAGACATATATTATCCAAGGTCACTTATGTTTTCATTAGGTCTCTTTCTTTCAGTGTAGTCGAGCCCCGGATTAATGAAAGTGAGACCTTATGAATATGAATTCTCTTCATCAGACGACTGACTGTGCGGCGGACTGACAGGCCATATCCACAATCGGTCACCTTAATGATGCTGCAGGGAAACGAAGGTTTCCATATGCCCATGTCCTTACCTATTATGATGAATAAGAGTGATCCGGAGTCATGTTGATGGAAAATCTCACCATTAAAAGGGCAGCCTGGCTCTGATCCATCAGCGCTCTAATCACCACCAAGACCAGTATTGATTCGTTCAGAAAGTGCCCTGATGAGAAAAAATGGCCATAATATGAAATGTGCATTTATCAGCGTCTTAATGAATCTTATTTATGGTGAAGGGCCTGTGCATAATTTCTTTCCATCCAAGTCCACGTTTAAATCAGTGATTCATCTCTGTTATCCTGCTGTCATACCCACACCATTGTTCATTCTCAAATTCTGAACATACTCGGAATTACACGTGTTTTTCAGCTTATTCAGTCAGTTACCAAGCTGCTGTGAAACATCATGTGGAAATTCAGCCCAAGTGATTCACGTAAATGACCGCAGAATCAGAAAAATATTTTTGTTATCAAGAAATGTGGTTGCATCAACCGATTTCACGGACAATCCCCGACTGTTATCATTGGAACACCTGATTCCGATGATGACTCATACGAGCTCCCAGCTTTCCCCCTTGCTTCTCCGATCCCAGTGGGGCGCCTGCATCCTGCATTCTGTCAGAGTTGGAATTTGGATAGGACTCTCCCTGTTAGAGCAAAGCAGAACAGTCAGAAGCCGCCCACCTCCTCCCAGCCCTCATTTGGTTATGACCGTAGCATTATGTCAGCTGGAAGAATAGTGGGCTGATGACTGGAGGTGCTTTGCTCTGATATTTCCTCCTGATGATGTTCAGATACTGAGCTGGCCGTTACTGCTTTCTCTGCAGGAAGTGAAGAGGAAGAGTTGGTCACCTCTGCTGCTGACAATGGCAGTAGCTACAGTAATGCTATATAGGGCAGTCCAGAATTCTACAACAATAGGAGCGTAAATAGGGTTCTTATTTTTGTTGCTTGTAATGACAAACCCACGTGGAAGTATCACCGAACTCTACAATTCAGCTCAGCTCTTCGGCGCATTTTTAGCATCTTCCAGCTCATAGTTTTGAGGTTTCCGCCTACATCTTTGCTGTTCTGTTTCATTGTCAGGCAGCTGTTTAACCCTGTGTACGCTACCAGCCCAGCATCAAACAGTAGAAAGACCAAGTTAACTACTATCTGGTGAACATAGTAGAGCATTAAGCAGCTGAAGAGACAGCAGGAGTTGGAGGCCAAACCAGAGTTAAAAGGACAGTAAATATTGGACTCTCAGGAGATGGCCAGGGACCTGACTAAATATACGCTAATGCTGTTCTGGTGCTGAAAGTGTAAATAGGCAACTGCTTTTGAATATTAACAAAAGTGAAAACATTAAAAATAAGATTTTGCTTCATAAACATAGTTGATGACAAATTGTCTGTTTGGTGCTTAATCAGCAACTTATTTATTGATACTGTCAGTTACAAGAAACTTTTATTATTAAATTTTAATGAGCTGTCCTCACCACAAGAGAACTACATATACTATGTCTTGTAGCAGGAAATTCAGAGACTATATGCATGGCAACAGGAAATCAATTATGTATACGATAAAATTTTTTTTATTTTTCATTGAAAAGCAGTAAAAACCTACAAGGATAAGTTTTACTGGCATCTAGTGGTGAGGAGTGCAAATTGCAACCAGCAGCTCACGGTGCATTCACATGCTCCTTGAATGGTCCCATTTCCCCAGTTGTGAAGTTGTTCTTCCGACTTCATTGTGTGTTAATGTGCTCTTAAGTCGGACTGTGGAATCAACATGGACGCTACTAAAAAGATGTGTTGGATTAGCATTATCAGAGTGTATAAACAACACGCAGACATCATGTTACTCTACATGGACAGCAAACTAACCGTTGGGTTTGCACAAATCAAAGTTCTGTATACTTCATTGTGTCCTATATACACTTCATTTCTCTTTATGCAATAAAGATTTAAGGAGGAAAGAATATTCTGATTATTCCAACGCAACATGAATGCACCGTCAGTCACCACTCACCCCTCCCTTTCCAAGCGCGCAGGAGAAGCTACAGTGGCCGACACGCTCGTGCTGAATAGTACATGTGGTCCTCCATTTGTCCAAATTTCTCTTCTTTTCTTACTTCTAATAAATCAGTTGACTACTACTACTACTGTTACTTGTTCTTCTTCTTTGAACGTATTCAACATAGTGACGAAACGCACTCTGTAGAGCAGTTTGTCTGTTTAGGCTGCTGTAGAAACATGGCGGCGCAACATGGCGACTTCCATGTAAGAGGACCCGCGGTGTATGTAGATAAAAATGGCTCATTCTAAGGTTCTAAAAACATAACGGTTCATCATGTAAGGTCTTTATACACCACTGAAAACATAGTTATGTATATTATATTGCGTTTCTGTCAATAGATCCTCCTAAATATTAGCAGAGACTTTGATATTACACACAGGTCCATTTAAGGATATCATAAAGATATCAAAGCGTTAGTTCCCTCTGTGCTTTTGATTGTGGCACATATATGCAGTATGGCTGTGCTTTAGAATTACCTAACACTATATTGCAGTGTCCTTGTAAAATCAATGACAACCTTTCATATGCTTTAGTGACACTGTGGGTGTGTGTGTGTGTGTGTGTGTGTGTGTGTGTATATGCTCATAGAAGAAATATAAAGAATAGTTGCCATGGAAAGATACTTATCCTTGACAAATGAATACCTTTCTCATGCCTGCAGGACATCAGAATAACATCAGACAGCAAAACTGCAGCACGCATACAAAGAGCGCACACACATACACAGGTGTACTTTGTCATCTACATTTCTAATTGGGCCAACCAAGCTCACTGAAAAGGCAAATCTGCCCATGAGCGCTTTACTATATCCAACATTTCCTCTCATCTCTTCCTATGTGGAGGTATCGGCTGTCTCCTGAGGTCCTCTTCACAGACGCAGTTGCCTGTTTCTCCCCGCCCCTTCTCTTTCTCACTTTGTCCCGCTCAAGTTTATTTTTTTCTATAGCTTTCTGGCCTGTTGGGCTTTAGTATCTCATACAGGCTAATCAGGACACTGTGTGCTCTTTCTCTCAGTCAGGCATGCCACAGATATGGTTTCTCTTATCTATCCCATCATCACTGCTGTCCAAAAACAAAAGGGAGCTGCCAAAGCCCACAAGGTAGCGACTTCAGAGAAATAACTTTTATTGCATTTTGCTTTTTTTTTTTTTTTTTTTTTTTCTCTTTCTTTAAATCACCACACATCTGCGTAGATCAGTAAATCAGATGCATTCACTCAGAAAGTTCATAAATTACCGTGGGCAACATGCCAGAACAAAGCTTAATCTTTCCAAATTGTACAAATGGGTGTAAACTCATAAAGCTGTGTTTTATTGAGGAGACTGGGGGTGGAGGAGTGGAACACAGGTCCAACATAAACAAATGCTTACAGTGATTTGTGCTCAACAGACTCAGTGACACAGAAGTCTGGTCTCTCCTTTCATCTCCTCTCCTCTGAGTGGAGTTTCGTGTTTGTGTATCCCTGTGTGTCCTCCTCTCCTCTTTTACCCTAATGTATTGAATGTAAAAATGAACCCCGCGACCACTACGTACAAATCAGGCTACATCAGTACAAATACCTTTTCGTAAATCTGCCTTTCAGTGTGTTTGAGAGTCAGGTGAGTTAAGTAGGCTTCATCACAAGAAATCTGAATTTTTGTTCAAATACACACCACTTACTTGTGTCTTTCCCAAAGAACTTGGACCCTCCTTTTCCTTTCGCGTTCAAAGTGATTTTTCTCTCATCCTGGATAGCTGTGTAGTATCAGTGCTGAGCAGTAAGTAGCTGTCAAGAGAACGCACGTCAACCCGTCAGACCACGCCACTTTCCTGTTTCCCAGCATTGTTGCGCATCAGCTCAGCAGGAAAGCCTTATCCCATTCCTCCCCTGGATTGTCAAATCCCGGCTACTGTATCTTGACAACTACTTCCGTGAAATTCCTCCTCAGCAGATTCAAGATATACTCTTCTAGTGGTTTGTGGTCTCATTTAAACTCTTGGTATCACCCTTTTTATGCATTGCCACAGAGCATACAGATGCATAAAACACTTGCAAATACAAGCATACTGCTGCACATTTAAGTATTTTGTATGCTTACAAAGAGACGCATGGAACAGGCCTTTTACCATAAATAACAGCTGTACTAATTTTCCAGTGTACACCAAGGTGTTTATCTTTCTCCACTTCAGTTCCTGTAATTCTGAAAGGGAGGATCCTTTTTTCTGGGAAACAGATTTTGTTTTAACCACATTTTGAGCTCATCACTAATACCAATCCTGTCGTAGGATGTGTCACTGGAAGGCATAATGAGGAATACAGAAACATAACAGATCTATTATTATTTATACTTTGCTTTGAATCATACCAGGAAGTAGGGTTCACACTGACACAAGATGGCAGGTCTCCTAACAGTAATATGGCAAAGTTTGTTCTGGTAGTTGATGCTGCACGTCTTCTTTGGTGGTCCCACCGGTTGAGAGCTCACAAGGAAATGGGGGAATCTGTGGCAACTGTATTTTTATATTAGTTTATGTTGCGTTCTCAGCAAAAGAAAAACCACACTTCAGCTCAAAAACCCGGCATTTTAAGGGCACCTCAGCTTGTTGCACATCTGAGTTTGAACGTGATACACATTCAATCTGGACTGCTCGTTGATGTTGCTACATTATACTTCAGCAAGCAACTGAATTAAAGTAAGTAAAATATGTTTTGGATGAATGTAAAGAGAAAATGCAAAATCATTTAGACTTGCATAGAAAGTAGTCAGAACAATTTGGCAGTAGTACATTCATATTATTTCTTTTTAGAAAATGGCACAGGAGTGTTTTTCAATTTTTTTTTTGTTAACAAAGCAATTCGTTTTCCCCCCTTAATGACAATGAACATAAAACAGCAGGTCACAATATAATATTCTTAATGAGAACAGCAGGGTCTGATTTTTAGGCTGATCCCCAGCCAGCCATTCCTCTCAGCCAGCCAAGTCTTAACAGTTGGCACTAGAAGGGCATGAGGGTTAAGAAGTGTTTTTATTTATTTATTTTTTTGCTCTGTCACATTGCTTTGCACGCATTGGCCAGTCTTTTATTACTCACTGATATTTTTCCGTGCTTAAGGGGTCAGAATTCTTCACGCAATGCCTGTTTTTAGTCAGATGACTGGAGAATATAATATTTTCAAGTGGTTGCTTTTATTACTATAATAATGATATCAGCCCTTTTTTTAATTTTATTTTTTTGCCTTGTTTACCTATTAAGCCATTTGCTTTTTGTAGCGTGCTACCTGTCAGTTATAGCACTGTAAATCTATCACGTTTGTAAACAATACTCTTGCTCTCTGATGCTGTGACTCAGCAATAAAGCGTCACATGAGGGTCGGGGGTCGGTTTACACGGGCTTGTGACTCCTCGTGAGCCCGGCATGGAAGGAGGGCACAGAGACGGCACACTGATTACAGAGAGCGCACAAAGAGAAGCTTTAATCTCTTGTTCAAGATTGAAACCACAACAAACAGTAAAAACAATGAACTCTGTCAGATTGGACAATTTAATTAAAATAAGTTATGAAACCTTTGTTTTATGCGCTGTGTCTGTTAGCAATTCTTGATGAATAGCTGTTGTCGGTAAAGGCATGGATACGAGTAGCCCATATGAGACACCAGCTGTCTGCTGCTCAGACACAGCAGTACATTACACTGGAGGGATATTAGGTAAGAAAATACATTGCTCCCATGACAGACTTTAATGAAAACCTACAGAATGTATGGTTTGGTTATATTAAACTGTGGAATGAGAGCTAATAGTGACCGGTTGAAAGCCTTGGATGGTGAGCCAACATACGACTGACTTCACATTTGCACTTATTGCATTTTACACCTGACGGATTTGATGTGTGTTGGTAACACTGTCCACTTGAACATTCAAAAGGTTTTATACCACGGCTTCACCACAAGTTGCTCATTCTCATGCTCCAATGCTGATGGTGTGACAACACATAAAACATTTTAATTCTTCACCTTCACAGTGAATGAATATAATATCTCTGAGTCAGAGCTGCCTCAGGGGAAGTCTGATTGAATAACACTAGTTGTGGCTTCTCTGAGAGCACTACAGCTCTCGCACACCCAGTATCACTTTTAACCTGTTTGTTTGCACTTTCAAACCCAGTCTTTTCTGTAAACAGGTGAATAATAATAATCTGATGGTTAACACTGTTTTAAGATACATTTTTTATCTTTAACTGTAGTTTATGAATTGTTACACACAAATGATTCACTTTGTGTGAGTGTGTACGCTGTCCATTTAGTTGACACCATAAAGGCTCTTGTTGTGTCTATGACCCAGTGTCATGGTCTTTTCAGAAAAATATATCCGCACTCCAAATGAAAGCTCCAAAAACATTATTAGACTAAAAAAAAGTCTACATTTCAATCCTACCAGGTTTTGTTAGGTTACATGCCAACATAACAAAGTAAAAGTATAGTATGGGCACAGAATTGATTACATTCTGCAAGACAACTTACAATACAATCAATACCAACAGTTGGTCTCGCTCCTCTTGTCACCATTATCACCATGCTAAGCAAAATCTTTTTCAGTCACATTTCTGATTTATTTTTAATTTCTTTTAAACACCGATTGAAATGTATTTAGTGAATAAACTAAAGTGAACATTTGTGGGCTGACACTTCCGTATTTTTTTTGTTTCATGAATGGGGGCTATATGGAAAAGAAATTGCTTGGTGAGCCATTACTGACATTACTGAATAATGTCATGTGAAACCACAGCTCTGCCATCACTTTGAATCCGTGTCTAACCTCAGACAGGGTGTTAGGGAGTGTATTCCAAGTTCCTTGGACCCTGATTGTTTTGAGCACTATGTTTACTTGACTACATGGACTGTGTTTTCACACCGCATGGTGTATTTTCAACATGAGCAATTGCGTGAGGCAGAAGGAAAGGAAAACGATCAATGATGGACGTATGGAATGAAGTATGGAAGTTGGGAGGGAGAGAAAACAAGTAAAGGTCTGAGAGGAGATTGGAAGAAAGTGCAGCTGCTCCCAGCACAGCCCCATCCCCTTTACGAGGTTCTGAGTCAGTTGTATGTCTTTATGTGTGTGTAATTGTGATTTAATGCATACAACTATTTGTGTTAGCGTGTGTGGCCAGTAGATGGTTGGTGGTCAAGCTCAGTGATGATGGAAGACAAAGTAGGCCCGTACACTCCATCATTCATGTCTTGTCATTTGCCTGTGTTTGGTTGGCCCACTTTTTCCTGTCTGCTGCTCCTTGCTGTAGTTTTAAGTTTTAGGTCCAATTCTGAGTCACGTTTGATAGCTGATTTAGTCTGCGTCAAAATACATGGTGTCAGAAATTCAGGACCAAAATCGGACAGTGTGACTGAGAATACAACCCATGCTTACAAAACACACACTGGTGAGCTAGGATAATACTGCTGCTAAAAACAGATATTTCCGCCACTCACTTCTGCATGTTGACTAATCTACCCTGTTCCCTTTTTATTTTATGCATAGATGTGCCAACAGTACATCAATTTATTGTTGCACTACATTTTTTCTTTGTGTTTAAAGATGAGTACACCAACAAAGCACAACAAATAAGATACATAATCAAAAGTCCATTATCACCGCAGCAATCCAAGACAGGCCTTCAAACTGGGATTGATAATGCTCATATACAGAAAAAAAGACTAAGAAGAATGCTGCACTGTAATCCATATTATTATATAATTTATTAGCTATATGTGGTATTGTTTTGCGAATGTTTGTTAGTGGAGAACTTGTTAGTGGTTTGCAGCAGTATTTTATTTATTATTCTTTTTTATTTTATATTATATTTATTATGTATAATTTGGAGGTTTGTTTAAAAAATTGTAAACTAATTTGGATTTTTACAAGAGATCATAATAAATCAGCAGCAATTTAGTGTTTCCCTTCCTGTACCGAAAATACTGTGACTTCAAAACCGAGGTACATACCGATCTGAGATTTTTGTGTATCGTTACACCCGTAGTGTAGTATAGGACCTCCTCCAGCCCTTCAGCGCAGTAGACCGCCCAGCCCACTGAACACGAGCCCCAGCGTGCAACACAACACCAAGCGTTCATTCCATCGCTGACCTAGAGCTGGAGGTTGTTCAGTATGTCTCGCAGAAAGTGCTTTTATGGATAAGAAGGAAAGTTATAGTAATTTTAATTTTTTTTATTGTAGTAATTTTCTGTTTTTTCCTCTGATGTCCTACGGCTGTTCTGCCTCAACTCTCTGTGATTTATGGAAATTTCTCCATAAAATTTGATCCACTTTCACCAAAATCAGAGAATAAAGTTGTGTTTTTGTATTGTAATCAGTGAGGTATACTCTCGCATAGCCAGACTTATCTCCACTCATCTTGTAAGCGCTATGCCAGCTAGTTGCTGCCCCTCTGGAGGCTAAAGGGAAGTTGGCCGATCAGAAGAAAGCTGGCTTTTAGGGAGGGAGGCTTTAAAGCGACAGGAGCGAAAATACTCCTGTCGCTTTAAACGTGTTCAGACAGAGGGTGAAAAGAGGTGCTAAGACAGTGTGAGGAAAAATAATGTGTTTTTTTTTTTTACATTAAAGCATGTGAACATTTTCTACTAGATACCCAAAAAAAGTGTGAACTTAAATTTAGCATACTATAGGTCCTTTAAGGGTGGGAATATATTGTAAACAAAATTTAATTAGATGTGTTCTTATGGCTAAAATGGCAGGTTTATGACTAAAAGGAAGTGCTGCATTTGGTTTTGATTGCTGCTGTTTGCCATCCAAAGCTGTTGAAATTTTCACCGCTTCCTATACACTACCATCTGCAACTCGTCAACAAAGTCATGTGTTAAGTTACAGGCCACATATTTTCAGTTTACTTCCATAGAACTGGAGTTTGCATTTTTTTTTGCATTTGCTCAAACCGTGACTTGAAAGCTGGTGTGACCGCCATTAGATAAAATTACTATTTTACGTCACAGTAACTACTGAGAATTTCCCAAACGCCAAAACCTAGCCTAAATAATAAAGTAGAGGAAAACAAGCTATGGAAACAATAAGGCATGTCTATGATACATATTCATTAAATGTACTGCATAGCCTGTGGTACAACGCTATGTGAAAATTAGTGGCTGTAGCTGGTGCCGTGCATGTAAATATGCCGCAAAACAATAAAAATGTCAAGGTGGTGGTAACCTTTTCAGTTTAGGAACAAGTGTAATGCATCACAACTGGGTTGCATTTATAAAGGAAATAGTTTTCCTTGCCACAGGAGAAAATAGTTTCCAGTCAAAATGTCACCCTGTCATTTATAGTAATAATTGCAATACCATATCTCCCATTTCCCAGTAGGACTGTGTGTGATGATTAAGATGAAATGGTAACCTTAACTAACGTGGTTCACATTAAAGAGCGCTGCAGGGAAGCTTCTGCCCTTAAAGTCAAATTCATTACTCACTGCTAAATGCTGATGAGTTATCATTTGATTGAGTTTTGGCATCAGTTTGTTTATTTATTTATTTATTTATTTTGTCTCTCACAGAGTCACTCATCCCTCAGTCACAGCCGATACACACCCGCACACTCACGTCATCACACAGACACAGTGGTATTTATTTTCTTATTTTTGCTTTCCCTTTCAGCGGTCTCCACACCCTCCCCACAGGTGTCCTGGTCCAGTTCCCTCTCTGTTGTAATAATAATAACAAAAATAATAATTGATAACACAGAACAGGCAGATCTAGCCAGCATGTGCTGATTTTTGTACTGGCCACGCATTGCTGACGTGATTTTCCTGCCTTTCTGTCTGCACGATTTTGATGTGTGTGTGCGTTAGCTCGGCTGTGTTCTTGGCTGACTTGCTTGTGTATAAGCCACAACTTTCCCACGTTGTGAAGTAGTCTCCCACAGGCCTCCCTCCATGTCCCTCTCTCTCTCTCTTCTCTCCCTCTTTACTTCCCTCTCTCCCTCTCTCTATCTCTCTCCACTTCAGTCTCCCTCCTCTCTTTTTCTTATCCCTCTCTCTCCTCCTCTCTGCACCTGTACTCAGCGCTCCAGACCCAGCTGCTCCCATCTCGGTTCAGCGCTGTTGGCTGGGGCCCATGTTGCACTTGGCATGTCCTCTGAGACCCTGGGGCCACACTTGACGTGCGAGGGCCAGGCAGGCCCCCGCCCAGGGAAGGCTCCCGTGGCCAGGAGGAGCTGAGAGCAGACGGATGAGAGCAGGGCTTTGGGCTGGAGAAAGACCTGCTGGAATTCTGGGAGTAAAACGCTGACTCATTGCTGAGCAGGAGGTTGAGGAAAGAAGTGAAGGGAGGGAAGAAGAGAATAGAAGTTTAGAGATATTACAGATGTGTTGTTAAGTGTTATCTTGTAAAGAGTTTTTAAGAGGCAGTATTTCTGGTATTGATATAATCAAAATGTCAAAACATATCTACATTTAGCTTCAGAACTACCTAATCAAGTTAAAGGTTAATTCCAGTTTATTACAACTCTGTCAGGCGGTCGGTCCACCACTGTGGTCCAGACTGAAACATTGTCCACTATTGGATTAATTGCCGTAATGCCATCAGCAAGATAAATATTTCACTTTATATTATTTCATTTTAAATATCTCAACATCTACTTGACAGACTGGCACAAACGTTTGTGCAGACATTCGTGGTCCTGAGACAGTGAATACCACACGTTCACGCCCCCTCTGGATGGAATATAGTAACTTTGGTGTTCCCTCGACTTTTCAACAAGTGCCATTATCAAGTCAAAATTTTTATTTGTTCAGTGACCAAATACCAAGTAAAACTAATGACATTACCTTCAGCCTCAGCTGCACTTTGTGTTGAGTGCTAATTAGCTAATGTTAGCATTCTAACCAGTGTTGGGAGTAACACGTTACAGCATGCTAGCATTGCCATTTTGACCATGTTAGCACTCTGACATTAGCATATTACGCTAAACACTGTTAAGTTCACAGGTCCGCTAGTGTGGCTGTAGACTCTAGGTCTTGTAGTACTTGTAAACTCAAGCTAATTAATGACTTGTAGCATTTGATCTCAGTCAATAAAAACATCAGCATATACAAGGGACTGTTTCCAGTTATCAGACATGTCATGGGC